ACCCCCCCCCACACCCAGAAGTGTTGGACATGTTTTTAAGAGATGTCCACTGAGACTGCAGTAAAAGCATAAGTGTTCCCTCCTCCTAAAGACCCGCTCGGCCTCACAAAAGGTGAGTAAACCCCAACTGCATGGATTAACTGCCTGATGCACCATTCCCAGGAGGTAAGGGAGGAATGGGATGGAAAGAAAACTTGGGAGTCACTCTGGGTAGGTAGCCTCCGCAGGGGCTCCTTAAAAGATAGTCTGTCTGAAACAATAGCCGGAGTCAGCAATAAAAGATCAGTCAGCCAGAGCCAGGATCATACTAGGAGTACAGGAACAACAGCAGGGCACTTGGTAGATCTGAAAACATGCAAGGATGTAGACTAAATCCACAAGCTGATGGTTAAATAGTGAAGTGGTGTTACATCATCACTCTGAGGCAGGAAGTTGCCAGAAGTTTGACAGAAGTTGCAGAATGATGATGTTTATGGGTTTGGTCATAAGGGGGCGCCAAAAAGAAACAGCGTCAGACACACGGCAACAAAAGACAGGCTGCAGCTAAACTTTAACTTTAACAAGGAAAGGTAAGACCCTGACAAGAGTGTGATACGAGCCGAAAATTAGTAAATTGTTTGGGATTGGCTATTTATAGAGTAAAAAAAAAAAGAGATCCAATATAATTACATTATAATTAATAACAGAATATTATTGTCTCAGTTCTGTTATACTTACCGTAGTTCCTCTATCCGGCTTGTTGTCAGAGCTTCCATCAGATCCCTGAAATTACAACCCTTCAATTTGTTCCCAGAAAGGTCCAGTGTCCTCAGTGTCTGGTTATTTCTTATTATAGATGCCAGGTCGGGGCAGGAAATGTCTGTCAGATGATTACCAACCAAACTGTAGAAGAAGAGAAGAATGTTACCAGAAGACAATGAATTTCTCCCCCAGGAATGAATGTAACTATTCTCTACATGAATGGAACTCATTTCTCTTTATTGGGATCATTTATGTTCCATCACTTTATAAAACTCCAGTAATATAATTTTATAAGAGAAATGTTATAATGGAGTAGACCCCCCAATATTGTCCTCCATGTGTAGAGATGATGATATCTCCATACATAGGATGAGCACAGAATACCACTGACATGACTCGTATTGTGCTATAATTTGCAGTCACTGGTATTATGATTTCAAATAATTTGGCAATATTTTTAAATCCCTTTCCAGATAGGAAAGGCCTTCTTTTTTAGGGTCCTAGTTAGCTCTTTTAAACTTGACATGGTGACACCACACATATCATTAGCAAAGAGAACAGCAGACCCAAGATATCCGAGGACTGGATATGTAGGAGAGGTTGCATCTGCATCCTCCCTAAGGGCCGGTTCACACCACAAATAGTGCGTTCCAGAGCGTTCAGGCTCTGGAATGGACTGAATCACACTCCGGCCGGCTCCCTGCATTCGGAGGCGGGAGGGGGCATGGTGGTGCTTTGAAGTCAATGGCACCACAGCCAAGCCCCCCGCCGCAGTACTATTGCCCGCACCCGAACGCGTGGCACAGTAGTGCCTTCGTTCTGGTCCAGTGCGAACTGTAAGAATGCTGCAAACACTATTTTTGCAGATCGCACTGGACCTAATGTGCCACACGTTCAGGTGCGGGCGGGGTGGGGCTGCGGTGCCATTGACTTTAATGCACCTTCATGCCGCCTCTCGCCCCTGAACGCAGGGACCCGACCAGAGTGTGACACAGTGGTAAGGGCTACCATAATTTTATAATAAAATGTTATAATGGAATAGACACACCAATATTGTCATCCATGTATAGAGACGTATTGTCATCCATGTATAGAGACGATGATATCTCCATAACACAGGATCACCACAGAATACCACTGACATGAACTCATTTTGTGGTAGGGATTAGACAAAATGATTGTTATTTTTGATATTCTATTGATTTCTGCTTATAAGAGCTCCATACTCATTGGAAGGTCATGTCAGGTGACCAGAAGCACTGATTGCTCATTGCAGTAAGACTGGTTTTCATCTTGTATGAGCATCTTTTATATCATCTATTTTACGATTTACAGGACTAAATTCCTCAAATTATAAGGACTTTATCTAGCAGACACACTAAGGTGTGAAAAAAATATACCAGCCATATCATTCCTAAGGGCTTGTTCGCACCAAGCGCGTTCCAGGAGCAGAGCAGTTACAGACCGGATCAAAACTGTGTCCAATGTATTCCAATGGTATCTTGGACTCTAGTTCACACCGCAGCGTTCAGTTCCAGAGCATGCAAAAAAACTACAGCAAGCCCTATTTTACCTGCTCTGGAACGCATCAAAAATGCATGCAAATGCCTTGCAGGGGTTTAACGTGGAACAATAAACGCCTGCTCTAGACAAACTGTTCCCTTGCCCATGTTTTCCCTTCCTGATCCACCTTCAAAACACCTCATTCTCTAGTGCTGCTTTGGTAATTTAGGAGCCACTTCTGGGCTTGCTTCAATTTCCCCGGCGGTGCCCCTTCAAATCTGTCATGGAGGAGAGACTTGAGTGATTTCAAGCCTACACTCCATGGTGGTTCAGGAGGGGTACTGCCGCACCAAAAGAAGGGAGCACAGAAGCCGGTTTAAAGCCACTGATCCACCATGGAGGCCCAACACATAGCAATACATTATACAGCAATGCAGAATACCACCAGCTATAGAGGACTACAAATCCCAGCACTACATTATACAGCAAATCAGAATACCACCAACTATAGAGGACTACAAATCCCAGCAATACATTATACAGCAACGCAGAATACCACCAGCTATAGAGGACTACAAATCCCAGCACTACATTATACAGCAATGCAGAATACCACCAACTATAGAAGACTACAAATCCCAGCAATACATTATACAGCAATGCAGAATACCACCAGCTATAGAGGACTACAAATCCCAGCAATACATTATACAGCAACGCAGAATAATATGAAGCTACATACTCTGTGTTGCTCCAGGGTGGTGGCCTGATGTCTCCAGGGTCTCATGAATGCTGTATGGGGTCTCAGGATGGCTGTGTGGAGTCTCAAGACGGCTGTGCAGAGTCTTAGGAATGCTGTGCAGTCTCAGGAGGGCTGTGGGGAGTCTCAGGTGGGCTGTGGGAGTCTCTGGTGGGCTGTGGGGGTTTCTGGTGGGCTGTGCGGAGTCTCAGGTAGGATGTTGGGGTCTCAGGGGCCTGTGCGGAGTCTCAGGTGGGCTTTGCGGAGTCTCAAGTTGGGCTCTGGGGATTATTATTAATAATGTTTTCGTTTTATTTTTTGGACTTTCTGTATTTTTCTTGAAGACGTTTCACTGGCCATCCAACCAGCTTTCTCATATCAGAAATTTCTGAATTGAGAAAGCTGATTGGATGACTAGTGAAACAGACATTCTCTATAGCAAGCTTCCTACATTGTTGCAAGGTTTGTGTATTGGTTGTAGCAAGGCTTGTGTGTCAGTTGTAGCCCTCCGGTACTTACTAGTGGCCGGCCCTGCCCCTCGATTGCGCTTCTGTGTTTGGCTCTGCCCCCTGTTGTGAGGGGTGGGGCCTGTTGGTGGTCACGTGATTGGGCTGCTCAGTCTAAAATGCCCGGGCCTATTTTTAGTCCCAGTCCGGCCCTGAACGGGATGGAAAGAAAACTTGGGAGTCACTCTGGGTAGGTGGCCTCTGCAGGGGCTCTGTAAAAGATAGTCTGTCTGAAACAATAGTATTTTTTTTCCTGGGGGGGGGGGGGGGGTTCAGCTTCCTCAAATTATAAGGACTTTATCTAGCAGACACACTAAGGTGTGAAAAAATATACCAGCCATATCATTCCTAAGGGCTTGTTCACACCAAGCGCGTTCCAGGAGCAGAGCAGTTACAGACCGGATCAAAACTGTGTCCAATATAATCCAATGGTATCTTGGACTCTAGTTCACACCGCAGCGTTCAGTTCCAGAGCATGTAAAAAAACTACAGCAAGCTTTATTTTACCTGCTCTGGAACGCATGCAAACGCATCAAAAATGCATGCAAACGCCCTGGAACGCGCTGAAAGTCCATTTTAAACTAAAAAAAAAAAGTTGTTTTTTTTTTTACCAAAAACGGCTCGGAACGCATCAAAAACACAGCAAAAACGCAGCACAACCCACTGCACTGTGTGTGCAGAAACTCATGCAGATCTGGTCTGCATTTGGTGTGAACAAGCCCTAAACCAACCCTTTGCCTTGAGCAATACCGATTTTGTTGTTTGACATATGGATAAAAACCATGTTTTACAAAGACTTATAATTGGTACCAATTCACACAAACCGCTTAGTATACACTTATTGGGATTGGGGAAAAAAAGAAACAGCGGCGATCAAATAGCCCCTATAAGAAAGCTCTATTTGCTTAAAAAATTAGGGGCCAGGGACAGGTCTTTCATTTGCACCCCCCCACAAATCAATCCATAGTTCAATGCACTAGACCTAGGGGTAGGCACAACCTTGGCTCTCAAGTTGTGCTGAAACTGCAAAACCCATCATGCTTCTGTCTCTGGGAGTCATGCCTGTGGCTTGCAATGCCTTATGGGATTTGTAGTTTCAGCACAGCTGGAGAGCAAAGGTTGCCTACCCCTGTCCTAGACCAAAAAAAGCACCTCAGTTTTATTCTGCCCGGTATTCTTCTTTAAGCATTTAGACCTCATGCAGCCGAAAATTGCATGTAACGTGGAACAATAAACGCCTGCTCTAGACAAACTGTCCCCTTGCCTATGTTTTCCCTTCCTGATCCACCTTCAAAACACCTCATTCTCCAGTGCTGCTTTGGTAATTTAGGAGCCACTTCTGGGCTTGCTTCAATTTTCCCGGCGGTGCCCCTTCTAATCTGTCATGGAGGAGAGACTTGTGGGGTGGGGCCTGTTGGTGGCCACGTGATTGGGCTGCTCAGTCTAAAATGCCCGGGCCTATTTTTAGTCCCAGTCCGGCCCTGAACGGGATGGAAAGAAAACTTGGGAGTCACTCTGGGTAGGTGGCCCCTGCAGTCTGTCTGAAACAATAGCCGGAGTCAGGAAAAGATCAGTCAGCCAGAGCCAGGATCATACTAGGAGTACAGGAACAACAGCAGGGCACTTGGTAGATCTGAAAACATGCAAGGATGTAGACTAAATCCACAAGCTGATGGTTAAATAGTGAAGTGGTGTTACATCATCACTCTGAGGCAGGAAGTTGCCAGAAGTTTGACAGAAGTTGTAGAATGATGATGTTTATGGGTTTGGTCATAAGGGGGCGCCAAAAAGAAACAGCGTCAGACACACGGCAACAAAAGACAGGCTGCAGCTCAACTTTAACTTTAACAAGGAAAGGTAAGACCCTGACAAGAGTGTGATACGAGCCAAAAATTAGTACATTGTTTGGGATTGGCTATTTATAGAGTTAAAAAAAAAAGAGATCCAATATAATTACATTATAATTAATAACAGAATATTATTGTCTCAGTTCTGTTATACTCACTGTAATTCCTCTATCCGGCTTGTTGTCAGAGCTTCCATCAGATCACTGAAATGAGGACCCTTCAGATTGTTCTTAGACAAGTTCAGTGTCCTCAGTGTCTGGTTATTTCTTATTACATATTCCAGATTGTGGCAGGAAATGTCTGTCAGATGATTACCAACCAAACTGTAGAAGAAGAGAAGAATGTTACCAGAAGACAATGAATTTCTCCCCCAGGAATGAATGTAACTATTCTCTACATGAATGGAACTCATTTCTCTTTATTATAATCATTTATGTTCCATCACTTTATAAAACTCCAGTAATATAATTTTATAAGAGAAATGTTATAATGGAGTAGACACCCCAATATTGTCCTCACAGCAATGCAGAATACCACCAACTATAGAAGACTACAAATCCCAGCAATACATTATACAGCAATGCAGAATACCACCAGCTATAGAGGACTACAAATCCCAGCAATACATTATACAGCAACGCAGAATAATATGAAGCTACATACTCTGCGTTGCTCCAGGGTGGTGGCCTGATGTCTCCAGGGTCTCATGAATGCTGTATGAGGTCTCAGGATGGCTGTGTGGAGTCTCAAGACGGCTGTGCGGAGTCTCAGGAATGCTGTGCAGTCTCAGGAGGGCTGTGGGGAGTCTCAGGTGGGCTGTGGGAGTCTCTGGTGGGCTGTGGGGAGTCTCTAGTGGGCTGTGGGGAGTCTCTGGTGGGCTGTGTGGAGTCTCAGGTAGGATGTGGGGGTCTCAGGTGGCCTGTGCGGAGTCTCAGGTGGGCTGTGCGGAGTCTCAAGTTGGACTCTGGGGATTATTAATAATGTTTTCGTTTTATTTTTTTAAACTTTTTATCAGTTTTTTTTTCATTTTAATTTCTCTTATTTTTTAAATTTTTTTCACTTAACTTTATTGCTATCACACAGGGGTTAACAAGTTCCTGTGTGATAGCATTCAGTAGTGACAGGCCTGCCCTCCAGTACAGACTGTGGACTGGAGTACAAGCCAGATGCAGTGCGCTCCAGCCCAAAATGCACTGCATCGCATTAAGGCCGGCTCACTTTTTTGCCGGGCAGGAGGGGGCGTGGTGGGCCATTGAAGTGAATGGAACCGTAGCCACGCTGTCTGGCTTCAATGCGATCGGCCGCACGGGATCGCAGGGCACATACTGTCTCTGGTTCGGTGCGATCAAAATGCTGCAATGCTATTTTGATCGCACCGGACCGGACTGCAGGCACAATGTGCCCTGCGATCCCATGCGGACGATCGCATTGCATTGGGGGCAAAAAAAGTGAGCCGGCCGCAATGCGATGCAGTGCGTTCCAGACCGATTCTGGTGTGAACGGGCCCTTAGAACGCACTGGACTCTGGACATAGGAACGCAATTGACACTTGACATAGGAACACACTAGAGACCTGCTTCACCAGCTTCTCTCCGGTTTATGTACCGGAGAGTGACACTGAATGCAGGCAGTGATGTAATACACATCACTGCCTGCATTCAGAAGAGGAGGAGGAGATCAAACGGAACTCGTGTACTGAGCTCCATTTGATCTCCGGCCGCAGAACTTCTGTTGGTCCCGGGCTCACACCGGGAGCAGCGGAGCCTGGGATCGCCAGCACTGGCTGTGGCGGAGGGGGGCGCACACCCGCACGCAATTACAAGCGATCGGGCGTCTCTACAGACGCCGGAACTCTTGTATGTAAACAGCCATAGCTGGCTGTTTACATAGAAAGCTGATTTCCCGCTCATGCGTGCCGCCTAGCGGCGGGCACGAGCGGAACATGTTAGGACGTCTAAAGACGCCCACCTGCCCTCAAGAAGCCGCTGTCCGGCCGTTTAATTACAACGTCCGGACAGCAGGTGGTTAAAATGTACCTTAAACTCTTGATGCTGAGTAGTGCTGGTACAAGTTTCCTCAATCCTTCATTCTGAATATTACATGAACTTAGATCTACTTCTTGTGTCTCTCTGCAGGATTGCAGGATATGAGACAGAACAGAGCAGTCCAGAGGGCTGAGGGAGACTTCAGAAAAGTCAATTTTGTCTGATCCAACACATTGTGACACCAGAGCCTTATTCCTGCTCTCATAGAAATAGTAGAAGACATTAAGAAGATCTCTCTTGAGTTTTCTGTATTTGTCAGGTCTTTGTGCTGGGACCTTCTTCTGCATCCAGGTGATGACATGTCTGGCAGCCGGAGTAGATAATTCTCCCACATGAGACTTTAACATGAATCTAGTAGAAGAGTCTGAGAGACCGCAGAGGAAGCGGAGAAAGATTTCAGCACGGCCATCATTGTGAGATTCAGCATCATCAAGTGTTTCCTGTAATCTGTCCGGATTATAGTTAGTAAAATGGACTAAAGCAGCAAAAAACTCCTGAAGAGTGAGATGTAAGAAGGTGTAATCCACATCAGGAGGCTGACCAGATTCCATCATGAAACATGAAAAGAGATGTTTATCATTTCTCACACTGAATGAGTCCAGATGACGCTCATCAAATACAATCATGTGATTCATGACTCCATGTTCTGCCATCCACCCCATAGATGTCAGCAGTTCCCGGGCAGTGTGACCCCCATCTTTATTCTGGCAGTGATTGGCCAGCATGTTGGAGACATAAATCACAAAGAGTTGTGTCACTGTTTTGGGCAATGATTCCATTAGTTTATCAACATTTGTTGGTTGGGCTTTGTGACACATTGATAACACTGTACAGATGATCCAGCAGTATGATGGGATATAACAGAAAGTGTACAGCGTGTCATTCTCCTGCACATAATGAAAAGCCTTTCCTGACAATTCCGCATTTCCAAAGAAATTATTAAAGAAGATCCGTCTGTCTTTGGGGAGAAATCCCATGATGTCCACTATTCTCTGGAAGACATCAGTATCAACTAATGCCAGTCTGGTTGGGCGGCTGGTTATCAGTACAGAGCAACCCTTAAGAAGACTCTGCTTCACCAAACTGATCACAATCTCACTGACGCTTGTTCTCTGTTTTGGATTGGACAGTTTACTTGATCTGAAATCCATTTGGTGAACACTTTCATCTAAGCCATCAAATAGAAACAGAAGTCTCTCTGGATGTTGTAAAATATCTCCAATCTGACTCCTCAGATACGGATATTGTTGAAGAATTATCTCCTCCAAGCTGACCTCTCCCAGTCTATTAAGGTCCCGGAATCTGAAGGAGAAGAGAAAAGCAAATCTCTGGTAGTGTTTTCCGTTCACCCAGTCATTGACAAACTTCTGTATCAGTGTGGTCTTCCCTATTCCTGGCACTCCGCTCACCATTACTGCATGTGGTACACATTTTGACTGGTGGCTCCAGCGGAAAAGCCTGTTGGGGGAAATCTGCTCCAGTCCAGATTGTGTTTTCTTCAAGCATTCCTCATGTCTCTCCCCGGTCTGTATTAGCTCATTCTGGGGACGTTCCCTGAACTGATCAGAGGAGACTACAACCAGGTTCACATATCGCTCATTGATGAGGAATCTTTGTGGTTCCAGGGTAGTTCCTGGGGGTTTATGCTCCACTAGAGTCTCAGTCTTCTCCTTCAGATCTTGTTTGTGCTTCATCTGAATATCTGTGGAAAAAAAATGGAGATTTTTTAAACTAAAAATATTTGAAGGAAAAAGCAAACAAAGTGTACTGGATAGTGCAGATAAATCTACTTTTAATTTATCAAATGTAAAAAAATCTTTTACAGATTACTTGATCAGCACATATACCCCGGAAAAGCAACTAGTATCAACGGTGCAGCACTAATGTTTGCTAGGTAGCTGGCAGAAAGAGGGATAGAAGCAAAGATGGTGACATTGGGGGGCGTGGCCGGCGGCTTCATGTAGCTGGACGTGTAACGGGGAGCTCCCGCTACACATCCTGTCTTTAATCCTGGGACTTTCTGTTTTTGTGCCCTTACATCTATCGGACCGACTCCGGATCTTCCCCGCCATCAGCCCGATCCTTCCACTGCCGCTCTTGAAGCTGCCTGCCACTGATATGTCTAAGAAGAAGGACAGTCAGAAGACGAGCATCGTGTCGCAAGATGGCAGCAGCCCGCACGGAGCTCTGTCTGCGATGTCCCAGCACTCCGGAGATAAGGGCAGTGACACGGCGGCGCGGCTGGAGTGCTTTGCCTGACAGCCTGATACTCCTGCTAAGCAGTCTCGATCCTCCCAAGCCAGAAATGGCAGTGCAAGAAAGGAGCCTGAGGATGACTACCTCTCCTCCACTATACACTCGACCGCTGATTCTGACAGTTCAGCCACTGTGACTAAAGCTGCTAAAACTGCTAAAAGCCCTAAATCTATTAAATCTAAACCACGACTAACTGCATCGCCAGAACCTACAATCTCTGATGTGTTTAATGCCATTCAGCTTTGCAACACCTCCCTTGCTTCACTTACTGACAAGGTTCATGGCATGAGGGCTGACATCTCCTTTCTCCACCATGACCTACAGAAAGTCAGGGAGCGGATGACAGCACTGGAATGCAGAGTTAGTGATTTTGAGGATTCAACTTCACCGTTGCTTTCTGATGTTAAAATAGCTATGCAGAAAATTGCAAGTTATTCTTCAAAAGCTGATGACATAGAAAACCGGCTGCATCGCAACAATATCCGTGCAGTTGGCATACCTGAACGCACTGAGGGCACCAATGCAACAGATTTTATGGAACAATGGCTTCTGGAAGTGTTTGGCAAGGACTGTTTGACCCCTCTGTTCGCTGTGGAAAGGGCACACCGTGTCCATTACCGCCGGGTAACCCTCCCAGGCCTCTTCTGATCAGGCTCCTAAACTACCGAGACAAAGAGCACATTCTACGCAAAGCTAGAGAAGTGGGAAAGATATCGTGGGAGGATCGAAGATTATGCTGTTTCCTGACTTCTCACACGAAGTCCAACGTAAATTTGATAAAAATGGTCTGGATGCCTCAACTCCTGTATATTTTGCATAATTCCCCAATTTGGCTACCTAGACATCTTTTTGATCAAATCAATACTATTTTTCGTGACCTTATTTGGCGGCATTAACAGGCCAGACTGAGACTGAATGTTCTGCATAGACCTAAACTCTCCGGGGGCTAGCCCTCCCCAACCCCTGGTTGTACCTCATAGCTTCACAGATGCAACACCTAGCTGGCTGGTCGCAGGGACGGGTGCATCCACAATCCTTTAATATCATCCCATATTTTTTAGAGGGGTTTGACCCAGTGAGATATTTGAAGAGCGGTTTTTATGTCAAGACCTACTCCCGCTTCCCTACTGTAAAATTAATGGAATGCAGCTCAAAACTTGCTGCCAGTGTCTGGCCTCACAGGATACACGCCTCTATTGAGGAATGGTCACCTACCTGAACTTCTTCCTTTGGAGGGGTTTCATTCCTGGTGCAAAGCAGGTATTTATACTGTCAACCAGCTATACCAGGATGGTGTTATCTGCTCTTTCCACAGCCTTCAGACTGAATTTCAATTGCATAAAAACTGCTTTTTTGGGTTTCTTTAGGTCCGCCATGCACTCCGTTCAGTCCCCTCATGGGGCTCCAAGGTTTTTTTCTACTCCAATTTTTGACACACTGTTTTTTTCTGAACATACAAAGGGTCTGATCTCTTTTTATATTCTCATTTTATGGTTAAATCTGTATCTCAGTTTCCATTGCCATGCAGAAAGGGCTGGGAAAATGATTTGGGCACTCCAGAATTCCTTTTTAGGACAGGATACTGAGATGACCCCTTCTGTCCTATGTGTGGATTCCACCAGGGATCCCTGATCCACCTGCTATGGCGTTGCCCTAAACTAGTGCGCTATTGACTAAAGGTCGTACGCACCCTCAATTCTGTTTTTAATGTTCAATTGATTCTCTCCGCCCAATATGTCTTTTGGGTGTCTTTGATGATTCACACTATGACTCCCCTCTACTGTTGGCTCTTAGATGAGCATTATTTACCGCAACTCGTCTCATTGTACGTAAGTGGATCTCACCGTTACCTCCTACTTTCTATAATTGGATGACGGAACTTGATAGAGTTATAGAATTCGAACGCATTACCGATCAGTCCAGGGGCTCAGTACACAGTTTTTACACAATAGGGTCCAAATGGTTATATTTTCGCCCTGTTGGGATGTCTGCTTGATCTTCCTCCTGAATGCTGCCAGCCCTCGCCACATTCCTCTCTCATGGTGGCCATACTACCCTGTTTGCCTGTGTGTATACAGCGTTGAGGCTACATCAACACCCTCTCTCCGTTTTTTTTTTTAAATTTTCATTTATTTAATCAGAGAGATATGTATATCCCTGTGGTAGGGGTTCACTACTTTTATTTTTTTGTTCTTTTATGTTTATTTCTGTATTCCTATGGTTCTATATGTTTTTGCTCTTTGCATACGGTTTGTTGTACCTGCTTAAAACCAAAAAATTTCAATAAATACTAGGGATGCACCGATACTGATACTAGTATCGATATTGGTGCCGATTCCGAGTATTTGGGCGAGTACTCGCCCAAATGCTCCGATTCCTAGCACGAGTACTTCCGGTATCAGGAAGCCGGGCAGCGCGTCATTACACGCTGCCCGGTTTCCTGATTGGCCGGGAAGCGGCTCCATGCTTTCACGTCCTTGTGAGGTAAGGTTACTGTACCTTAGTATGTCCAGCCTGTCACCCCCGGGGGCCTCTCCAGCGAGAGCGCGGCCTTCCTCCGGTACACTGCCGGAGCCGTCTGGCTGGCCAATCAGGAAGCTGGGCGCCGTGTAATAATGCGACGCCCTGCTTTCTGATTGGTCGGGAGGCCGGCTTCATGCGACCTAAGGTAAGAGGGGGCTTTTTTGTGGCATTTTTTTTTCAATTAAATGATTTTTTACAGGTCTGGTCTTTTTATTTACATTTTGACTTTAACCCTTTAGTGAATGAGTAAGACTACACCTTAGTCATTCACAAGGGGGCAGCATCTGGGAGCAAAATAGCCAAGCCGACTGCTACTCGGCGGCATTTGGCTATTCACTCACTGCCATTTGGCTCCTATGTGAATAGGATGTTGGATCTGCTGAGTCAAATGGCTCCTTCACTTAGGCTCAGCCGAACATAGGGCCTTCCCGTGGCACCCAGGGCACCTTCGATACATGCCAATCCTAGATATACCAATGACCATATTGATGAGGGGGAGGGAGGAAACAAGTAAACATATAAGAAGGGTAAACTTGATGTTTAATGAAAGCAATATATTGTAAGCTCAGTGTGGAAATAGGGCCATCACATCACAGTGCTGCGAATGCCATTCATTATTTAATGTACAATAATTGGCAGAGAGTAACATGATAACATTCAGATTTTTTTTTAACTAAGAATACTTTTATCAGTAAGATACAGTTTTGCAGATTTGCTGAGCTATTTGAGCTCAATAAGCTTCTGGGTTTTGAGATCCAAGGCAGTGTGTAAGAATTGTGGTCCTGACATAACCAGAAGACAGACCCTGGGATCCTGTGTAATAGGTAACATTAATATTGTCATTTATAAATTGTCTGATCTAAACCTGGAAGCTTTCAGTGAAGTGGATGGCATTAAAAAGTGCAAATATTCCAACAACATCTCCGATCTTTATACAAAGTGAGCCATGTGTTCCATTAGTATATGATGTGTTTTATTTACCTTTCAACTCCGGAGTCAGTGAGTATACGTCTGCATCCAGCAGGATCAGATCCACCAGGCGCTCACCTATAGACAGAAATATAAGATGCCAGATCTGAATCCTGAAAGATTGAAGCAGATTTTTCACATACAGTACACTATACATTAGAAATATGTTAAAACAGCTTCATATACTGTACAGTTCTTCATATTCTAACCATATATACAGTATGCTTTCTATGAATCATTTCACTGTGATTCTTCGTGTTCTCATTCAATGTTCTAGCATAATACTATAGAAGACATTGGAGGGAATTCAATAAAACCTTAACAGTTGAAACCGGCCAATCAGGTAAGTGACCATCCCCCCTTAACACTAACTTAACCCCGTACTTCCGAGTTCCCTGTCCACCCTGTCATGTAGTCCTTCCGTCTATTTTTTCTTTTCTTTTGCTCCAGGACTATCTTTCCTTTAAAAGGTCCTGCGGAAAATTAAAAAAAGCCCTGTTACCCGTTTTGGTAGCGTTAGGCCAGGTTCACACTTGTGTGATCCGTTACTGCGCGGCAATCGTGCATGAAACCGCGCGGATTGCCATGTGGTCACGAAGTCGCACACTACTGCTGATCACACTAGTCGCGCCATTTTTTTCTAATGGCACCCTAGTTGCCCGGGTGGGTTGCACGCTTTCCCCCAGCGTTTCCGCCCATGCAATTGAATATGAAATAAAAAAAAGCTGTGCGCCGTGTGACACAAAAAAAAGGTACATGTACCTTTTTTCATCAATTGCCGCGCAGATGTAACCCCATTGATTTCATGCAACGTGTCTCACGGGGATCGCCCAGGTCTGCACCAGCCCTCACTGACACTTACGAAAGATTGAAGTAGTTGTTAATACCGCCACTTTAAGAATCTGTTACTGACTGTGACAGATTCAAAAAGAATTACTGACAGTTTACAGATTGGAAAACTAGCAGTAATTAAAGGAGAACTATGGGGTCAGGGCTTTTCCCCATAGTTCTCCTTAGGGTAACGAGAGGACACAAACTAGCATCCTCCCGTTACCCTAGGCTCAGTATACCGCGAGCTACAGCTCGCGGTATAGTGAGACGCCGCAGCTGAAGCGGATCCCGACAATTGTGCCGGGATCCGCCCAGCTGCGTGAGTGACAGCTGGCTCTGCCTATCTAGAGGCAGAGCCAGCTGTACCCGCCCCCTCCCCCGTCCGATCCGCCAGTCAGCGCTGGCGGATCGGAGCGGGGAGAGGGGAAACTAGCCCCTCCCCTGTCACGGCAGAGAGCCGTGACAGGATCGAGAAGTGAGCGAACGCCGGTAT